CTACTTCGTGGGCCCACCTATATATCGTTACATTAGCATCCGCCACTGATCAAGATGAACGGTGAATGCAACTTCACCTCACCCACAACCTCAACCCTTTTTTTTTCTAAATATTAGATCTGGATGAAGTGTTTGGTAGCATTAACTAATTTCCCATATTATCAATACTATTATTTACAAGTGATTCTAATTAAATATTATTAATTCTAATAACTATTTTCAGTTGAGATTTTATAAGTTGAAGTTAAACTTTTTTTTTTTGTTTAAGCTAATTCTTTAATTTAATTTTTAGAGTTTATAATTTTTACAAATTAAAGCAGCCGCTTTTCTTTAACCCCAAAAAAAAAAAACCTGTATATTAATAGAGTTTGTTTTATACATATTTCATATCGGTGTAATTTTTAAATTTTATCAATGGTATTAAAAACTTCAAATTTACTTTATTTAATTAGTATTTTAATTTTTCTAACAAAGGACATGTGTCATTCAATGAAATTTAAAAGCTCTACTCATGATAGATAAAATAATTTCATATTAATAAGTAAAAATTATTTTAATAATAAAATGAAAAAAAATTATTCGATCTTCATGAAAGTTCCATGGTTATTTAAGTTGTTAGCTTAATTGATTAAAGTTCGTCTTTATTGATAAAGAGATATTAGGTTCGAGTCTTGTCAATGATCATTTATTGAAGTCATCTCGAATGTAAGACCTGCAATTATTTATCTCAAATGCAAGATCTATAGTTTCTTGTCTTATGTTGATAGGTATGATATATCTTATCATAACCTAGAAGACTAAATTACCTATTTACCTTTGGATATTTTCTTACCAAAAAAAAATATATAGACGTACATAACTAATTCCACGCACATAATTCTGCACATGCATGAATTTGCCATGCAGTTCCCTTAACACAAAAAATAAGGAAAAGTGTTGTACCTACCTACTTCTTGTCATCTTGTGGCCAGTGCATGCTGTAAATAAGTATATATAGAGGTGTTTATTGCAACATTCGGAGCACAACACAACCAAACCAAAAGACACAAAACTACCATGGCTGCCAATTCAACACTACTAGCAATACAATGTGGCGCTGGTGTTCCACTACCACGATGCCATCTTCGTAGAAATTTGGTAACCAAAACACACCAAACTGCTATCATGGCTCCCACTCCAGCAGTGCAATTTGAAGCTGGTGCCCTAGTGTCCACACCATCCCAACTTCAAAGAAATTCGGCAACCAAAAGAGACAAAACTGTCGTGGCTGCCTATCCAATAAGCATAAAGTTTTCAACGGATATTCCAGAATACACAGAGTGCATCCTTGAGAACTTTTCTGAAGAAGATCTGCACCTGGATGACCGTATCATTTGGGAAGGGTCTAAGTCTAAACATTTCCCAACAGAAATTCCAAAAGGAGAGATGCGTGAGTTTAAGCACGAAGCAGATTTTGGATGTCCAGTTGTTGGTTCAGTTGTCGGTCTTGAGTACGATTCGGAGAAGGAATAAGTATAACGTGGATTATTGCCTGGAGCAATTTTCAAAAAATGAACTCAAACAAGGTACTGTTAATCGTGACATACAACAAATAAACCATTTTTTACTTTAGAGGACCAGGGAACCAGTCGGGTTGAGACTGATAAATACACTTGATCTGATATATCTTGATAGTATTTTTATATCCAACATATATATCTATAATTTTGCATTCGATCCATATCTTATTTGAAATTAGTTTAATAATTTTAATTTAGTTTACACTAAAAGAAATAGTACTTTTTAGTGAAGAAAAAAATGTCCATTAAAAATATAAAATTTAGCACTAAAATTTTTAGTGACCAAATTGAGTGTCACTTGTTGTCATAAATAATTCTGTCACTATATATTAGTAACGATATTTATTAGGTCGTCACTATAGCATTTCTTTTTTAAGACACAAATTTTGATATTAAAAGTATTAGAATATGTAATTAAAATAAGTTGTACAAAGCTCATTATTGTGATAATTTTTTCAATCTAAAAATTGACTCATAGGACGAAAAAATATACAATAACATTTGTTTCTTGTAAATAATTGACTTTTAAACTAAAAATAGTTATAAAACTTAAGTCACTTCATGCTATTTTTATTAGTGATAAAATTATCTGCACTAGTTTTTGAATATGTAAATGAATTATATATAAATATTAAAATTATTCATTATATTTTGTATTAATAAATTGATATTTCGCAAACAAAATTTATAATTATATATAAAAAATATTAGTGATATAAAATATAAATTTTCACAAAAAATTACTTTGTATTGATGAAAAGCCCTTCCATAAGCTACATAAAAAACTTATATGCCTAATCAACTTTTATTTCAAGCTTTAGGTAAATGATTAGGCATATAAGCAACTTGAAACCCATCTGTAGTATGAAAAATATTATGTTGTGTATCACTTGAATTTATCAAAAATTTGCGTCGTAAAATATTAATCATTTTATTCTTAAAAACTAATTAATATTTTAATTAAAATACATAATCATAATCATAATTCTTTAAGTTAGAAAAATCAATTATATAATAAAATTTTGAATAAAAAAATCAATTATCTAAATCAAAATAAAATTAAAAAATAAATATTTTAATCATATTAAAGACAAAATTTAAAATAAAAAAATTACCTCAAAATAAAAAACATATAAATATATAAAAAAAATTTGAAAACAAACTTGAAAAACTTCGAAAATGGACTTGACAGAGTTGACGGCCAAATCTATTTCAGTTTATATTACCTTTTATTTATTGCGTTAATGGAAAAAAATCGTCGCTAAATCTAATTAAAATTTGTTCCTCCCCTAATTTTTAGCAGCAAATTAAATGTTTAGGGCTAGGTTTGACACTTCTATGATTTTTGTACCGTAACTTTTGACTAATCTAAAAAATTAATTGGAGGGAATATTTAGGTGGCATTTTAGTGACCATTTACTGAAAACTTACAATAAAATAGGCGAGAATTGTCGGCAATATTTTTTTTTTTGTCATCATTAAATGGTGAATATGATATCCAATTATTTTATTACAATATAATAATTTATTACATAAAAACTTAAAAACAATTCAATAGTTTATCACTAACAATTAGTTTATTACAAACAATACAATCGTTTATTTCCATAGTTTATTATAAAACTAACTGACTTATACATTAAATATAATATATAATTCGATTACGTGTAATTTCAAACCGTCTTTTAAATCTTTATTACATAAAAAATTAAATATAATATTAAATACAATAAATATTAATATAGTTATTAATTAAATATTATTTTTATATTTTATCCTTTATTCTTAAAATTAAATGCATTACATATTAAATAATAATATTTGATAACATTAGAAATTTCTATGACTGTCATTTAACTTTGATTTTTTTTTTTCAATTTTATACATTGATATGATAATATTCATTTTTTATTATTATTTAAATATTTATGAATTATTTTTTTTATTTTTAATTATGAATATATCATTAATAAATTAAATTATTATTTTTTAAACTCCTATTAAGATATAATAATATAATTGCAATATGAAAAAAAATTAGTATACCATAAACAAATTTTTTATAATGATCACATGGGATGATTTGGAGATCCTTGACTTAAATTTGACTACAATAATCTAGCAACTAAATAAATCAATTAAATCAAACTAATTTGATTAATCCATCAATTATTATATTAATTTGAAGATACGTACTTAATTTAATTGATAATATTTTCGAAAACAACTGTATTTTTTTCTTGCTCTTTCAAATCTAAAGTTGTAAGTCACAAAATGAATAATGTCAATATTATATGAAAATATAAATCATTCTCAAAATATAAATTATACATCTGCTTGTCACAACATCTATTTTAAATATTTTTATTGATTATAAATCTTTATTTTTTATATTTTCTTTTAGTATTGTGTTAAATTTATGTTATGTTTTGTAAATATATATTAATATGCTAACATTAGTTATGAATTTTCAATATTAATAGTTTTAATATATTTATTTTTAAAAACCTTTTACAATTGTTATTTTAATAAAAAATTAATAATACGTAAATTGTTATTGCAATAAAAAATTAATATATTAAATTTCTCAATATAAATTGCGACAAATAAATTTTTAGTTATTATAATATTTTCAATAGTGACGATTTAATTGTCACTGATAAATTTGTAATTGTGATGACATATAATTGTTAATATATGTTATGTTTAATAGTGACAAAAATTTTCAAAACTAAAAATAAAGTATTATGTGACAAATTATTTTTTCATCACAATAATATCTAATAATAGTAACAACTTTATATGTCATCACTAGTACATTACTTCTCGCAAAAAATACTTGCCACCAATTTATTCACTTTATTAATGACGATTCTATAGTGACAAAAAACTTTGTGTCACAATAACATCCTTATTGTGACGATTTAATTGTAAAAATGTTTAAACTGTCACAATTATTATTATATTAGTGACCAAATAACAATATGTTATAATTATTTGTTACAATAGTATCATAGAAAAATTTCGTCACCAAAAATTTAATAATTGTGACAAAATAACTCACAATCACAATAAAATCGTTACTAAAAATCTTAATTGTTGTAGTGTTATATTCATAAATTATTATTTTAAAAGAAATTATATCTTAGTTATATATAAATATAGTATTTTTATTAAATTAATATTTTAAAATAAATTATTAAATAATAATTTTATTAATATATATAATATAAAATTAAATAAATAATAAAATATATTTTATATATTTTCTAGGACGGATTGAGGCAAAATATGCTAAAACCTCCAAACTGACCCGGTTTAAAAAATCTACCTCTATCGAATTAGACCAGATTGAATTCTGTTGAATTGAAGTTGTTTTTCCATTTTTATCCGATACACCATTTAAAACCTTGAAATAATCAATTAATGTATCAACTGCAGGTTTATACTGAGATCATTGAAGACGAAGTTGCTGATTGGGATAAAATCAAACTCAGTCTTGAGAAATCTGGGCAACACTCTGTAGCTGAGAAACATCAGTTCTTGTCAGAAATTGTAATTGATCCAACCAGCGCTACGCCAACAATGAAGGCAACATTTAAGCTGCTTTTGCTTGTCGATGATAAGCCAACGTCAACGTCAAAAGCGTAGGCTGGCTTTGCTTGCTGATCAAACCGTGGTCATAAGGCTATCAAAATGAATAAAAATGTGGTCGGTGCATCATGCGTTCACCACTACTACTAGTAGAATAAATTTGACAGCCAGTAGAGTATTTTAGTTATGTACGTGTTTAATTATTGTGTGGTTTTTATATGTAATATTTCAGAGTATCCTCAAATTTAGGCCTTTAAACTTATGCCATGGCTATGTCTATATATGGCTATTTGTAATATTTCATCATAATATTAAAAAATAAAAAGCCTTTATTAACTCAGCATGTTATATGTTGGCTCCAGCATCATATTAGTTTAATTGCATCAACCCTTCAAAATTATAACTAATAGTTTAATTGCATCAACAGTTCGAGATTAAAATATATATATATATATAGTACCATCTTCAACATCTTTTTCTAAAAAAATATAAATCAAAAGATCAGAGTCATAGGTGATCACTAATTTCTAGAAGAAAATCCTTAAGTCTCATGAAAATAATAAATCTAAAAGTCTGATGCTCTTTCTTTTCTTTTTCATTTTTTATATTATTGAATTTTATTTCCTTAGTTTCTTTTTTTATTATTTAGTTTAAATATTCTATCTTTATATTTTCATAAAAATGTGAAATTCAAAAAAGAACATAAAATGAAAAGTAAAAAATGGAAAATAAAAAAAGGAAAATATTTTTGGAAAAATCTGAAATTAATTCGGATTGCAATTCTTTTGGAAAATGGAGTTTTGTTAGATTGAATCAAAAACCAAAATTTCAGTGAATCAACAAGAATAAAATTTTGGAAACCAACTTTATTTTTTTTTTTTTGGATTTAGTGTCATTTTTGAGTGGGGATTAATGCCCTTAAAAAAAAAGCACACCAACAAAGCAATACAACATTTCCTCAAGTATTTATTATATAACTCATTCAAATAAATTTAAGTATTTTCTTATAAATTATATCCGTCAAGCCAAGGTTTTAAAGTAGCACTAGTATATTTTAATCATCATAAATTATGTCTTAATAAAGTAAACTCACACGAATGAGTGGGGGGTTAATTTGGCCATTGAATGCTTGTAAGTGTTTAATTAAGAATACTCTACATTCATTTGCACTGTATTGTTGAGTTGAGCGATAAGGTTGCCATTACCTTGATATACTATTATTAATAAATTCCAAGATAGTGATAATAAAAGAAAAATGTGAATAGATAAGCTTACTCTTCATTTGATTGCCACTCAAATTGGACACAATTTTTTTTATAGTACACTAAATTATTAGTTGCTTTATGATTCCAAGTGCATAATAAAGCTGGGAAAACTTTAATCTGTGACAAGAAAATGGCAAAAGAAAAAGTCAAAGATAGTACATGTCCTAAACCTTAAACCCTTAATATGCCAATGAATTGAAAGTTAAAAGGAGAATCAAATACAAGTTGGGAAATCTTGCATGGTCACATCCAAATGATGTGGTTTGATTATCAATAATTTAAATCTCATGAGCTACAGTGTTGACACAATATGTAACCCCATGGTTATATGTAGTTATGACTGCCAGTAAATATCTCAACCAAAAATATATTTACTTACCAATTTTGCTTCATTGATATCATATTAAATTATTCTCTTTGTAGGAATTGATGAAAACTGTTCTCTTCAATGTTGAATCTAAATTCTCTTTAATCCTTAAACCAAAAATAAAATAAAATTTCTTAAATATCCATCCTCTAGACGGTATCCATGAATAAATTATTTCATATGAGATTTTCATACAAATCCTTTGAGTTTGAGATGGCTTTAGGTGTTAAAAAGTGTTTAAGGTTTTAGAATTTGATTAGTTTCAGGATCTGGACACTTTAAAGTTTAGGGTTAAACTTAATACTTAGATCAAATTTAGGGTTAAGTTTAGGGTTTGAGTAGGTTTAGGGCTTGACTAGGGTTTGGAGTTAGGTTTAGGTTTAGGGTTTAGGATTAGGTTTAGTAAGGTTAAAGTTTAAGTTTTGACTTTATCATTTTAAAGTTTAACTTTAGGGTTTAAAGTTTGACTTTAGGTTTTAAGGTATATTTTGAAGTTTAGGGTTAAGTTTGGACTTTAGGGTTTAAGGGTTGATTTGAGGGTTTTAGGTTTGACTTTAGGGTTATAGAGTTTGATTTTGGGGTTTAAAGGTTAGGTTTAGACTTTTAAGGTTATGGTTTGACTTTGAGATTCGGAGTTTAATTTTGGGTTAAGGGTTTGACTTAAGTGTTTTAGGTTTGACTTTGATATTAGGGTTTGAGTTTGGTGTTTTACCTGACTTTTGTGGTTTAGAGTTTACCATGTTTTGTATAAACCTCTTAAAAAATCCCTAACTTCTAAGCAAACATTTGAAATAAGACAAAAAACTATGATTTTAAATTTATTTAAAGTTTTAATGTGTAAGTGAATGCGACAATACTGAAGACAATTAAATACTAAACATGAAATTAACGTATTACAAATGATTAATGAAATTAAACTATCATGACAATACTAAGGGAAAAACATAGTAAATGATTGTATTCTTATTTTATCAAATACTTAAAAAATTCTTACAATACTATTTTTTATTTTGAAACTTTTTATCAAACACTTAGAAAGCATATTTAGAAAACTATTTTTATTAACAAAAACATTTATCAAACACATAAAAAACTTCTTAAATGGAAACCATTTCATCCACCAAAAAACATAAAAAAGGATTATAAGATGGAAAAACATTTAAACACAAAATCTCAAGCATCACAAACATGAAAACCAATCACCATAACTACATCAAAATATAAAGACCAAGAAAAGCAAGAACTACATGTATGAAAAATAAAATTGTATGATGAAAAAAAATGAAGAAAGAATAAAATTAAAAAAAAAAAAGCTACCTTAGCTTTTTTCAGTAAAAGATTTTTTTTCCCTTTCCTAAGAATATGTTGTCACTCTTTTACTACCCATTTTCTTCCATTTAAATCAGGATAACAAGAATAAAAAGGGAGTTCTAAACCCATATGAACAACCTTTATATTAAGCTTCATAGAAAAAACATTTCCTTCATTTTCAAATTTTTTTTTATTTTCTTATATTTTTTGGTTTTTTCTTTTTTTTTGTGCGCCACCACTCTTCTTCTTTCAGCCTTCCTTTTTAATTTTAACCCTAAATAATATATTTAAAGACCAAGAATTATTTTCCTAGCCTTTGGATCAATTTTGTTTAAAGATTGTAGTTATTTTGTATTTTCCCCCTAAACTTGGTGACCAAGGAAAGCAATTTTAACCCTAGGATTTAAACCTTTTATGATCAATGGCTTTCAAAAAATACAACATCCATCTTGCCCTATAGTACAGCTATCTTAATGAGAAAAGATTATTTTACCCTTATTAGTGTTTTTAAACTTTTTCATGATTTTCTTAAAATTTTATATTCTAATATTTATTTCATGATTTTGATAGACTAAAAATCATAAAATAATATCTAACTATTATTTGAATCTTTTTGGTGAAAAATCGACCTCAAAAGATCAAATTATGAAAATACTCATAAGGGCATTTTCATAATTTCATTTTTTGAAGTGCAATCAAAATTCTTAATGCATCAAAATTCATGGAATAATATTAAAACACAATATGGAGTTTTTTACCTATAAAAACACTAACATAAAAAATGTTAAATTATGAAAATATCTCTAAAGGCATTTCGATAATTTTCCTTTTCTAATGTTTAATCAAGTTTTCAATACATCAAAATTCATGAAATAATATTAAAACATGATCTAAAGTTTTTCACAAAAATACCAACCTTAGAAAAGGTCAAATTACAAAAATATTTTTAAAGGGCATTTGGGTAATTTCATCCTTATAAGATGCAATCAAGATTTTTAAGAATCCAAATCATAAATTTATTAATCTCAAGTCTTAGCAATCTTATTCAAATATGAAATCCAAGGGTTGACTTGAGTTTGACTAATTTTGATCAAGTTTAACCATATTCGACCATAAAGCATTTTAGTTACTTTAACTCAAAATTCAATTTTAAAAATTTGTAAATCTTAAAAAAAATTGAATATTAACTAGGCCTGACTTTAAAAGCATCACAACTGGCTAGAACGTGATTGGACAAAATTAGGTGTCTACAACATATTTAATCTTTCACTATCAAAAAGGTAAATAATTATATTTATAGTTATTCATAAAAGTGTGTTTTGGTTTAAAACTATCTATTAAATGAAGTGACAAAAGTAGAAAGTCACAACTTTTTTTAAAAATATCACAACCCTTTTCTTTGATCTATACAAATAGAGAGGATTAGAAAACAATCATGTATGTGAAATATTTGTACTAAAAAATATGTATAATAACTTTGCAAAAAATTTTCTCCCTTTCATTCTTAAAAGAAGATAAGTTTTTTAAACTTTGTTTTGCTAAAAAAACCTAATTTAAAACTAGATATTTTAATGCCTCTTCAAAGGTGTTTATTTGAATTCAAATAAGATTTCATTGTATTTCATAAACCATTTGAACAATTTTTATTGCATCTCAATAAAATGATAGGACAAATAAATCTTGAGGAAAGTGTCATCATAACTTTCCATTTAATCATAATTTCTTGAAATTAACGATTCTCCGTTTAGTTTTTTTTTTTTTTTGGTTGAAAAAAGTTTAGGAGTATGAGAGGTTATTTCATATCCATAACCCATAAAAAGATTTACAATTCTTTAGGACTTTTCAGACTTACAGATCGCCTACTAATAGAAAATCGTGGGGGTTTGAATTTGGGTATTTTACATCTAAACTCTAAACTTTTACCAGTTGTGCCAACCACTATTGATGGTTCTCCATTTAGTATTAATATTTAATCACTAATAAATAAATCTACATTTATAAGTAGTAGACTTGAAATAATCTTTATTAACCAAAAGTGATTCGAAAACCATCACTCATCTCCCTTTCCGTCTCTAATTGCAAATTTGCACGTGCAGTGCCACTGACAGGCACCAATCATAATGTAATAAGGGATCCAACACCTAGTGTGGCAGGAATTGACTTTCATTGTCTAACCATAACGTAATTAAATAATCATTTTATATAAAAGTAAAATTATATATTTTATTTATGAAAAACTTTTTTTGAAATTGATTATTTATACTTATTAAATTTTTTATTCTAAATATGACTTGACTTTTGCATTTCCAAGTGCTAAATAAGTGGTAAAAATACCC